TTATTTTCGTTGGTCAGTTTTCGGTGTTCTTACGTCATCGAAGAACTGAAGTCTGTTTTGTTTTCTTTTCTTTGTTTTTCATTCAAACACTTGTGTGATCAGTGCTTAGTGATTAAGTACTGTCTTTAGCTCGAGGGATTCGAGAGGTAAAATCCACGGGACGTGGTCGGAGAAGTAGTTGATAGAATCGTGTGTAGTTGTGGCTAGGCTAGAAGGGAGTTCGAGTCGTGTAAGTCCAAACTATACAAGTGTGCACAAACGGTTTATCAATGAAAGAGCTCTGAGGGGAAGTGGGACGCTTCCCTGAAGAGTTTTTAAATCTTCGATTTATTGCTTCCGCATTTTTGTTTTAGTTCGTACTACAATTAGCGCACTCCGTGACAAATACCTACGTTTCACTCAGAGTTCTGATTTATGGCTTTCATGTTTCATCGGTTCCCTATGTTAGTCGAATTTCGCTATTTTCTTTGTCATCTTCTAACTTGTTTAGTCCCTGATGCTTATCCTGTGCTCTCTGTTTTGTAATTTGGTTGAGTAATCTGAGCTGGTGAAATAGGGCATTTGATTCATGGATATAACCTTTCAGTTTTTGGAAGCCAAGTCCGTCTTCATTTCTTGGAAGCTCGATTTTGATGAAAAACTCATAAATATCTATTTTTATTAAAAACATAGGGCTAAATGTGATGAAAACAAAAACAACTGCTGCAAATTGAGAAGATAAGTTCACCTGATTTGACAAGTGGTGACAAAGGAATTTGTTCGAAAAATTCCTCCACCGACAGGTAAACACACAAAGCATATATACAATTACAACAGGTTTGCTCGACTATTTTCTGGTTGTATTAAAATCAAGAAAACAAAAAATTACAGATTGATTCTAGGATTAAAAGCTTCTCTTGTATACAGAGAACATCTCCTCAAGAATAACACAGAGGCTGGCGTAAACAAGGTACAAAATAAACAATTGTGTTGCAAATTGCTTGTAGCTTTCTATACAACCATTTCACTCGACGTGCACGTTGGTTGGAGAGTTCAGTTCGTCTACATCATCTTCAAGATGATCAAGAGCCTTGTTTTGCCTGTATGACAACAACTTTTATCAGTCATGCATACTACTTATAAGCAACTTAGGCAAGTAATATATATAAGAAATAAAAGTTGTAGAAACTATGAAATTTCTATGTTTCATATAAGATTAAAGAATATATGGGAAAAATTATTAAGATCAGAACTTTAAGCAAACTTTTGGTACCAGCCAAACGAACAAAACCATTTACACAAGCAAATTAGCGTAATCTGGGAGATGATGAAATTTCTATGCTCTCTACCTCGTTTTTCTGCGAAGTGGGCCCACGCCCGAAATAGTCATCATCGTTTTTTGGGATTAGGAGTGATGGCTCGAAGGAAGTTTTACGCTTGGCGGTTTTGCTCTTGCGGTTGTCGGATTCGGGGTCAAAGTCGAAGGGGTTCGTGGGGCCCGCCGAGGTCTGTGCGAGCTGTTTACGGAAGCCCAACATTTATTTATTTATTTGCTTATTTTTATTTTTATTTTTTTGTAGGGAATTTGGATTTGTCAGTGTACTGATTTTGATCAAAACTAGTACGTACCCCGTGCGATGCACGGGACTTAGGTATTAAATGAGTTATTTTCACAGTCTTGTCCGTTTAAGTTTAAAAAATAATAGAGTTATTATTTATTTTCTACCTCTTTTAATCAACGTTAAGTCTAAAAAACAATGGGGTTATTATAAATTTTTTTCCACATCTTTTAAACAGCGTTGTTTTTTAGCCAGAACATTAAATATGAGCATGTTAGGGCTAGCTGGTAAAATAATTAATATATTATCTCACTAAAATATTTATACTAATAAAAATTTAATTTTAGCATATAAATTTATCCCTTGATATAAGAGAAAGTAACAATTTTACTTATTGTCGTTCACCGTATAATATTTAATTATTATTTTATTATATAATAAAAAAGGAATATTATTAAATAGTGTAGTAGAATTGTTATAAAATTATATGATTTTTTTTAAAATATGGATTTAATATCTTATTATGATTTGATAATATAAACAAATCTATACTTACCTTTGACTTTTCTAGCAAAGGTATAAAAATCGGTTTTGATTTTTATCCCATAACAAATCTTTAATATCAAGCCTACAAATACCAAAACAAATCTGTAATTAATATCATTTTATTTCCAGCAAACATTAATTACCTTTGACTTTTTTGCCTACTATTTCTAGTAAATAGGATGACTTTTTATACGAGTATAGATTTAAAAAATACTTTGTGAAGCATGATTATCATCAAGGGCATGGAGATTTTTTCTGAGTCTAATTAAGGCATGCATTGGAGAAAAAAAAGAAAAGAGCTCTCGTTTAATTGAAGACATGTTATGAAAATGCAAAAAATGCCATCCAACCAAATAGAAACAACAATGTCCGTACATAGTTATATCATATTGAGATAATAAAAAACACAAAGCTTAATGTATCGATAATCCTGAGTAGGGATTACAAATAGCAACTTTTCTCCCTCCTAAAGCCATTTTCCCCCAAATCGAATCGATTGAAAGCCCTAATCTTATCTGCGGTGCCTCTCTCCTGGTGTTGGTTATGCAATATATAATGTTCTGTTAGTACATGGAATAATTGTCTCTTGATTAAATTATCAAATTAGTGGACTTAGTTTGGAAGTGGTTAATGACGGAGTGGAAAACTGGACTTTATCAAATTATAGGACTAATTTTAAATTTTGACACATTTAAAGTGGATGCATTTATCTTATAAAACTGGTAGTGAAATCTGACTTCAACTTTTTAATTTCAAAAGGTGGTGACGCTTATATGCTAAATGTCAATGTCCACTTAAGGAAAAAAAAAATAAAAAATGAAACACCTACAAGGTCGGGTTATTTATATTATATTTATTATTAAGGAAAATACTTCTCAAGCAAAATATAACTATAGATGGTGTTCTCTAGAAAAATGTCAGTTTTTTTGTATGTTCAAAATTCAATAGAAAACTATAGTAACATAAATTTCTACAATAGTTTATTGTTATCGGTTTTGTTGGAAATTTCCAATGAACATTTTAACGAAGATAATACACTAAAATATTGTAAAAATTCACTTAAAATTTTAGTTGGACTCTAATGAATATTCTAACCACATTTCTTCTAATGTTTTACTCTTATGAAAATTAATGATTTTCCAATTGAAGTTTCCGCAGAGCGATGAAAAAGTGCATTGAAAGCAGCGCAATAAATCTTTCTAGGTTCATGCATAAGTTATTTGTTACAATTGCATATTATCCAATAAATCTTTCTAGGTTCGCATAAGTTATTTGTTACAATTGCATATTATCCTAGGAATTGTAGTGTATAATTCACTTTTCACAAATTGAACAAAAAATAGAAAATAAAATTACAAACAGAGAACGGCAAGACAATAGGCGAGATGAATATTGTCTTTTCCGCAAAACGAATACGCTCCGTAATGTGCTGACTAGTTCGGTTGTCTCGTTCTAAAAAATACAACGACTGACATCTCAAATACTGTAGCACACCAGACTTTCGAGCTCCGTCGAACTTGAACGAAGCTGAAAATTGAGCAGAATGTATATACATGAGGCTATGAGAGAATGCAAGGATGCAGATGATATTGTGTTGTGTTTATGTCTCTACCATGTCCTATTTATAGGACTTCCAGTCACGTAGGGATTGACCACTCAGCTGCCACTAAAGGCAGGTAACAACCCAATCATGGCTGCTATAATGGGCATAAAATAACCTAGTCATGTTTTCAGGTGTTTCACTCCACTAGATAACCACCGAAATAGTCAGGTGAAATATAACACAAGTCTAGGTTCAGTGAACCTGTCACATTGGTTGGGTCAAAACCCAAGTCCAAATCCAACTAGGTTTGAATTTTATTTTGAGTCGCAATTTTGCATATAAATTTGTAGCAAAAAAATTATAGGGGCTTGAGCCAAGCACCAAGCCCGGCACCGGCCCAGACCGTCCAAAGTCTCTCAAGTCAAACCCACAGTGCAATTGTAGTGCCTCGTTCTTTTAATAATGGCAAAATTCATTTTTATGCATAAACATATCTCATTTCATTTAAAAGTTTAGCTCGACTAAATCAAATAAGCTTATTAATTTATTATCAAAGTATTTATAGAAAAGGAAGAATAAGTCATGAAGATTATAAACCCTTAATATTATTAACACTTGTGAAATAAATCATTCAAATAAATTTTAAAATTAAAAAACTAAGGCATTTAAAGGTGGAGATCAACATTAGTTCCATTTGGTTTTTGAGTCGTTGCAAAACCAACGTAAATGTCAAGGAAAGCTCGGCCATAGCAAAAAGAAGAAACGATCATTTTGAATCAAATGATAACTTCCATTTTCATGAGCGTCAACCTACCATAAGTAGCTCATTTGTAACCTCCAAGAGAGCCCTTAATTCCAACCATTTTTGTCCAAGTATTCCAAGCAAAATTCACACAAAGAATCGGCCATTTTGGAAGAAAAAGTAAAGCATGCATTCTTTCCTTAATTAGCCATTTGTAACCTCCAAGACTCCCTTGAATTCAGCCTTGTAACTGATTCCTTACCTTTGAATTTCAACTGTTGTGGTTAACAGCCGTCTCCAGAAATTTGGAGGCTCTAGACAAATTTTACCTTTTCGAATTTCTCGATTTGAACTTGCGTGGTAGGCTATTTGTAGATAAAATCATATAAGAAAAAAAATCTAATTTCAAAAGACTATTAAATAAATAATAATTGAAAAAAATATTTTTTCTTGTTTTTCTAGACCTCTGAAAAATTACCTTTAATAAATTATAAATTGCATTCAAGCAGTCACAAAGACAACAAAGAGGAGAAAATAAAATTATATTACAGAAAAGAATATTTATTCACACAAATTGTTCTGACCGAACATCATAAGAAAACAAATGAAATATTTAGGGCCTCAAATTCCTATACAAAGTACATATTTTGCTATTAGCCTCTTCATTAATTAGTCTCTTGATTTGTGTAATGGACTAAGTTCATATTTAGCCATTAGCCCCTTTATTTGTGTAAATAAACAAAACTAAACACAAATACGTAAACACTAAAAAAAAAATAAAATTAAGGCCCCTAAAAATTGGAGACCCTAGGCATGGGCCTATGGTGCCTCCCCCTAGAGCTGTTAAGACATTCAAGGTAAAAGATCAACCTTTCAAATCATCTAGTTTCCAAGCAAAAATATTTTCAAAATCCTCCCAAAAATTTCAAATCTTTTCCTTCGACAATTTCACGCACCGAGAGCATTTTTCCCGGCGAGCTCGAGCGACCAGGCCGAGAACAATCCGAGCACGGCCGAGCGAGCAGGATTAGAGAGACTTGTGGACACCCGGCTGAGAGTGCAAGAGAGCAGCAACTGATCAGTCCGAGAGCACCTGACCGAGAAGACTCCAAGCAAACCTACGTCGAGCCTTCGATCAAAAGCAGAGTTCTCTTAATACTTAATTCCAAGAAGAAAGGAAATAAATTAATTCAAAAATCCTTTTAACTCTTGTCCCAAGAATTTACTTAAAATTCTAGAAAATAAATCTCAAGATTTGAATTAAACTTTGTTAAAAAACTGGGTATAAAAATACACGGGAATCCTATGAACTGATATGTATTTTTCAGTTCTTACAAATAATCTAAAAATTAGAAAATTACAATCGAACTGAAAAAAATAAATTACAACTCAAAATAAATTAGAACTAAAAAAATAACACGGAAAGAATTATAGCAGAAGCGAGTAAAACTCTTTCCGCAAGAAGAATACGCCCCGTGTGGCAGCTAACGGTTCAGGCGTAACTTCCCCAAAGATACAACGACAAACGTCTCTAAATCTGTAGCACACCAGATTTACGAGCTCCGGCGAACTAGAACGAAGTCGAAAATTGAGCACTTAAAAATAGGAATAAAATTATCTCTTTGATAATTTTTCTCTAATTTTACACCAATATTTTTATCCCTCAAATATTCTTTTGGGCCGAATATTTTTTTTCTCTATCTTTTCTTTCTTTCTTTTCCTTTTTCTTCTGTGTCTTACCTTCTGCCCGAACGTCCCCTATTTATAGGGAATTGAGATGAGGGGGGCGGCTGAAATTAGGCCAAATTGGCCTAACTTTCATTATTATTTTTTTTTAATCAATTGGGGCGGCGCAGCCTAGCCGCCCCTTTACACTTTTTCCAATAATCCCCCACAAAAATGTAAATTAAATATAATATACTATGTGCTCAATCCTCACAAAACTCTATTGCATCAGAGAAGGTTGCTTTTGGCTTTGAACCTTTCTTTGTAAACATCATCGGATGCACTGGCGGACTAGTGGATATAATGCCTTGAACTATTCCTCCATAGTGTACACCGAGACAATGATATTTACACAATAGAGTCTTAACTCCATTCCGTTCTATCGTTGTGTCCGTTTTGGCCATGGACAACACTTTAGATTCATAAGTAACTTACATTCGAAGCGGCCCACACTTCACACT